CGTGCGGCAAAGGAGCCCACCCACCAAGCGGGACGGGCGGAGCCCGTAGCCCCCAGTGACCGAGCACCCCTGCGTTCGCCTCGGATGAGGCGCTCAAGAAAGCACAGCGGAACGCTGGTCCAGCCCAGGGGCACCCTGGGCCCAGCACAATCTTGGGCCAGAGTGGTTCTTGAGAGGAGGGAGGGAGGGAGGGAGGGGAGGGGAGGGGAGGGGAGGGGAGGGGAGGGGAGGGAGGGAGGGAGGGAGGGAGGAGGAGGAGGAGAGGAGGTGGACCTGGAGGAGGAGCGGAAGGAGGAGGAGGAGGAGGAGGAGGAGGAGGAGGAGGAGGAGGAGGAGGAGGAGTCAGCAGGAGGGGTCAGCAACACGAGGAGGCAGGAGGAGGAAGGACGAGGAGGAGGAGGAGGTAGGAGGAGACAGCAGGAGGAGGCAGGAGAAGGAGGAGGAAGAGGAGGAGGAGGAGGAAGAGGAGGAGGAGGAGTTAGGGGCAGCAGGAGTCGGATGGGACGGATCATAATGCGCATGCTTGCGAAGCAGGCTCATCGTCGGCGGCCGATCTCAAAGATCTTCCAGCACCTTGCACAGGCGTAGCAGAACTGTGCTTATGCCTCGTCGTTTTCACGTTGTCCTTCTCCATCGTGTGCGCATCTCGCAGTGCTCTCGGCTTCCCGCAGCCTTGACGGCACCGCGATGGTGTCAAGCAGTGGTGCCCAGCTGGGGCTGGGGCCCCTTCGGCACTATCGCCCCACCAGAGGGGTCTCCAAGGGGCTCTTCGTCGTCAGCTCGGGGCAACACCTGCTGCATGCAGCCGCTTTCGGACCGTTCTCAACACCTGCTGCGTTTCAGCACCGTTCCGACCGTTTTCGACCGTTTTCAACACCGATTTCGGGCCGTTTTCGAAAGGGTTTCCGACCGTTTTCAACACCTGCTGCGTGCAGCTGTTTTCGGACCCGCTGCACAGTGCCACCTTCGATGCTTGAGAGCGCCCCCCCAGGCTGCTCTGGGCCCGAGGAGTGCGCGCAGCTCCTCCTCCTCCTCCTCCTCCTCCTCCTCCTCCTCCTCCTCCTCCTCCTCTTCTCCTCTCCTCCTCCTCCTCCTCCTCCTCCTCCTCCTCCTCCTCCCTCCTCCTCTTCCCTCTCCTCCTCCTCCGCCTCCTCCTCCTCCTCCTCCTCCTCCTCCTCCCGACCCTCGCTTTCTTTTGGAGCACCCTCTTCTTTAAAATGATCGTTCTGAGGACCTGCCTGGGACACAGCGAACGGATATGTTCGACTCAGGGTCGGGTCTGATTCGACTCTGGTGCGGCTCTAGCTTGACTCAAGTTCGACTTGAGTTGGGCTCAAGGCAGGCCGACCAACGCTCGACGCAGCACCGATGTGTGAGTGGAGCGAGTTGCTCCAAGACGATCACAAGATCAGCAGCTAACCTTTAGACCGCCAGGCCCTCCTCTCGCAGACCCCCAGTGTCGTGATCGTGATTTTCGTGGCGTGGACCCCAAGAGGTCTAGACCCTTTCACCAGGATTGGTTCCTCATCCCGAGCCGCTTTTTGACGATCCCGTGGCCGAAGAACGGGCCAAACAGTTCACCGTCGTGGTTCATTGACTGACGCCCCACCCCTAGGGCTGCAGCAAGAGTGAAAAACGGAGTTTGCGTAACGCGCGCGATTTCTGGGGAATCTTGGAGTTTGAGCTTCGTGAGATTTCGTCGGGGGCGGTTGGCGGATCGCGGCTCTGCTCTTGGGCTTCTCTGGGCTCTCCTGGCAGCACTTTTGAGGCCTCCTGGGAGCCGTGTTGAGGCCTCTGGGGGCTTCTTTGGGGCCTCGATGAGCCTCTTGGGGGCCTCTTGGCGCCTCCTCAGGTTTTTTCGGGGCCGAGTGCTCGAAATGTCCATTCGGATTCCCCCTCTGGGCCTCCTTTTGGGGCCGTCCTGGGCTGGGGCCCTCCTGGGCTGTTTTGGAGGCTTCTGGGGCCGTCTTTGGGCCTTCTTGGGCCGTCTTGGAGCCCTCTTGGGGGCCTCTTGGGCTATCTTGGGTCGATCTTGAATGCTTCTTGGGCCGTTATGGGCCTCGTGAAAGCCCAAGAGGCGAATGTGCTAAGAATGTATGTTTTTTTCCAGGGAAAGGGACGATTTTTGATTCTGTGGGGCCTCTTGGGGCGCCTCTTGGTGCTTCTTAGGGCATCTTGGGGGCCTCGGGGGCCGTCTGGAGGCAATCTTGGGCGTCTTGGACCGATCTTTCGGCGACTCGTAGCCCTCTTGGACCGTCCGGGGTCCTTTTGGGGCCTTCTTGGCCCGTTTTGGGGCCCCCTGAGGCTCCAAGGGTGCGGCCGGCACTTCTGCCCCCCCCCCCCTCCAAATTGGCCGGACCTGGCTCCTGGGGGAGGGGTTCGGAGAGGGGGAAGCATCTCACACGCCGTGACCCTAACGGGTCGACGGATTTTGGCTTCTTGGGAGCCTCTTGCAGCCCTTTTGAAGTCCTCTTGGGACCCTTTGGGCGCGTCTTGGGGCCATATTCGGCCGTCTAGGGGCCCTCTTGGGCCTTGTAGAGGCGTTCCTTGACCGTCTTGGGCGCTTGGGGGGCAGTTCCGTGAAGTTCTCTGGATCGTTTGGGGCGTTGCAACCGTCCCGGAGGCCCATTCCAGGAGTGGCCAAGAGCGCCCAAGAGCTCCCAGAAGCGCCCTGCAGCAGCAGCAGCACAGCTGTGTCCCGGATTCGGGGTGGTGGTAGATGTTATTTGAAAGAGGAGAATCTATGCGGTGCATCTTATGTTCGCAGTGTGTTGTCCACTCACTCCACTGCTCGCGCAATCATCGCACCCGCCCGCCCGCGCCTTGGCTTGTAAAGCCTAGGCGGCTGCGATTGCGATGACTGCTTGGCGCTGGCTGACTGGCGCATCGCTGCGGCCGCGCTAGCGCGCGCAGGCTCGCGCCAGAGCGGCCGGTCTGGCGCGACCGACGCGGCCGCGGTGGCGCTCACCGTTGGGGACTTTCCACTGCGTCTCGCAGGCCGCGCTGACGCGCAGGCACTTCAGTGCGAGTCGGTAAATCGGGCGGGCGCTATATGATCACGACGTCGACAACGGCAGACGCGATAACGATTGGAGCGGTGTTGGCGACGACGATGGCGATGATGACGGCAAGGCCAATGACGGCGCCGATGTTGATCAAGCCGATGACGATGATGGTGTTCACGTGTCGATGATGAACGCGGTGAAGGAATTTCGACATGCGCGCGCGGCCGACGGGAGCGACTGGCCCGCATGGTATTGTTTGACAGGGGTCGTGACCCTCCCCCAACACGCGAGGGCGTTCGAATGATTTCGACATGCGCGCGCGAAAGACGAACGTTTGCTCGAATTTCATGAGAGTGTTGAGGCGAAAGTGCGGTGTTCCAAGCGCCGAGAGGCGCGCGCACAGGTTTGAACATTCATGTTGCAAAACCGTCAAAACAGTTTTTTGGGCATTCGATGTTGAAAACAGTGCGTCCTCTCTCTCTATATATTGCTTATGGAAGATCCGTAAGGGCTTCGCCCCCTGCCGCCGGCCCCCCTCTCTCGGAGAATGGGCCATGGAAGAGCGAAGTCATGAGGCTTTGGCTTCGCCGTGAAGCAGTGTCGGGACCTGTTTGTTTTTCGACCCTGACCCTACGGATCTGCGTGAGGGGTGCCGCCGAATTCAGAAATGTGGCAAATCCCTTGTGTTTCTGGACCCTGACCCTGCGGATCTGAATGAGGGGTGCCGCCGAATTTCAGAAATGTGGCAAATCCCATGTGTTTTTGGCGTGAGGGGTGCCACCGAATTTCAGAAATGTTGCACATCCCATATGTTTTTGCACCCTGACCCCGCCGATCTGCGTGAGGGGTTCCACCGAATTTCATAAGTGTGGCAAATCCCGTGTGTTTTTGCACCCTGATCCCGCCGATCTACGTGAGGGGTGCCACCGAATTTCATAAGAGTGGCAAATCCCCTTTTGTTTTTGGACCCTGACCCTGCCCATCTGCGTGCACCGAATTTCAGAAATGTTGCAAATCCCATGTGTTTTTGGACCCTGACCCCGCCGATCTGCGTGAGGGGTGCCACCAAATTTCAGGAATGTGGCAAATCCCATGTGTTTTTGGACCCTGACCCCGGTGCTACCGAATTTTGGAAATGTGGCAAATCCCATGTGTTTTTGGACCCTGACCCCGCCGATCTGCGTGAGGGGTGTTAATTTTTACCCACCCCAGCAATTCAGAGCATACGATTTTTCCGTGGTAAAAATGCCCGTTTTGGGCCTCCCCTCCTCGCGCGGTCCATCAACAAGGAACAGTAAGCAGCAAGAAGTCAACAAGGAACAGTAAGCAGCACGAAGCAGAACTGTAACAGTGGAAACTGGAAGCTGCAACTGGTACAGGAAACTGCGAATTCCCGGCCTACAGCCTGGTGGCCCCACAAGGGGGCCGGCGGATTTCGGCACGTACGCGCGACGACGTTGGCGTGAACTCTTCGGATCCTGATTTGCAAGGGAGTGCTGACATTGCATGTCACGCTGGAGATATGACTTGCGCAAATCACGGGCGATGCGTGCTTGATTTGGGCAAGCATACCAGTTGTTTGCACATCGTGCATGCCCACTCGTCTTCATATCGACGTTGCAGTTATCACACGTCGTTGCCAATTCAGTGTGCGCGCTTTGACCACCTTGTCCTTTCCACGACAAGTGAAATGCGTCTGTCGAGCGCCATTCGTATGCACATGCCCGCGGCGCACGCAACACTAACAGCAGCATCCTTTCAGGTGAAAGTATCCTTGAATACGGCTTTGAATGTGACGTCTGCCCATGTTCAACATTGTTCCCGAGCTGTTTTCCTTAGAAGGTTCAAATAAAAGTAAACATTGACCACACAAGAGTCCTCCATGGGGACGGGGGGCCCTAGACCGCCTGATCCAGCACGGTACAGCGGCGATTTCGCTTGAGTTTTCTTGGCAATTTATTCATGAACGTGCTCCCACCTCAGTGCTGGCTACATTTCCGAGCCATTCTGGCGCTAGGGTGCTCCAGCTGAAGGCCCTGCGCTGTGTACCGTTGAGCTGCGCCACTTCTTAGTGCAAGTCAGGCGTTGAGCCATGAGCAGCACCAGAGCGGGCTGGCTGCCGCCCGCGTCCAGCCGAAGCATCGTGGAGAATTATGTTACCCGCATGGCTTCGCAGCTCCCCGAGGACTTCGCGTTCGCGACCCTGGTGCCGTGGGGCTCGCCGCACAAGCCAGGCAGGCTTGTTGCGCCGGACGCCGCCCATGAGGGCCACTGGGACGCCAGGGAGATCGCGTCGCTGGTGTCTGGGTGCACCCACTTGCTGGTGCCGTGCACATTCGAAACGCAGTACGAGAAGCGCATGCTAAAGAACCTGTTGAGGCAGATCGAGCCGAACAACAACTTTCGTGTGGCCCTGCTGCAGCTGCTCGAGATCCCTGGCAACATGAACCGGGAGTACGTGGATATGCTCATGGCACGCCACGACGTGCTCCTCCCCTTGGGCGCCGACATGGTGATACTCGACCCCAGCGACGATCCAGATGGTCTGTGCGCGGAGCTCAACCTACAGTGGGCATGGCTTGAAGCAACTGCCTTGCGTGCACAGTGCATGGTCGAAGGTGCTGACGAGAAGGCAGAGGCTACGCTGAAGTACCACCACGAGCTGCTTTGGGAGAGCATGCCGAAAGTTATGATGCGCGGGTTCCCCCCGGTCGATCATAGTCTTGTGGAGACGGCTACCCGTGTGGGAGATCTCCAGCTGGTGCGCAATTTGAACCCAAGGAACAGCAACGTGTTCCTGGCGCGTCGCAGTGCGACCGAGAAAGTCGCCCTCAAAGTCTATGACAAGTCAAACTATGTAACTGCCGGGGACGTGGAGAACATTTATCGCGAGCTGAGTTTCCTGAGGGACGTTCTCCGACACCCGCACATCGTCCAGTGCACTTCCGTGCTCCATAGCTTCTCGCGGGTCTACTTGGCCCTCGAAGTCGGGGGCACGAAGAATCTGAGCCAGCACCTCATGAACCAGCCAGGGTACCGCGCCGACTCGCAGGAAGCTGTGGACTGCACCGCGCAGATAGCAGAAGCGCTGGCCTTCTGCCATTCGCGTGACATCGTGCACAGGCAAGTGTCTCTGGATCACATCATGGTAGATGACCAGTCGGAAACGCCCTTCTGCCGCTTGGTGGACTTCTTCGCGGCGACGTGCTGCATGGGGTCGACGCCGTCTACCACGGCGTGCGGGGAGCTGCCGTGCATCGCCCCGGAGATGGTGCTGGATGCGTCGTACGCCGCCAAGCCGGCGGATTGCTGGAGCCTCGGGGTGGTGCTTCTCGAGGCCGCTGGGGGCCTGGGCTCGATGAGGCTGGCGGTCGGATGGCTGGAGGACACGGAGCTGGAGCCCGCCGCCGCCAGGGTCCGGAGGTTCTTCTCCAGCGAGGGCAGCTGCGCCCGTGCGCTGGCGGCCATGGGCGGCGTGCGCAGCCCTGCGGTGCTGGCCAGGCTCTCTGGGCTCCTCGAGCCGGAGCCCACGGCGCGTGCCAGCGCGGGCGCCATCTGCGGCTCTTCTGAGGCCCCCTGAGGCTCCCTCGGGCCATCGCGAGGCCCTTCGGGAGCCTTCCTGCGCCCCTGTCGGCATTTGCTTGGGCCATCTTGGCCCCTCCTGGAATCGAAGGGGGGGCCGCGGGGCCGCTCCTGGGGGACCTTCTTTGGCCCTCCCAGACATCCGCCGATGTGATCTTTTCAATCCGCGGCCCCAGAGGTCCCGACCCCTTCCCCTTGGGTTGTTTTTCGCCCCGGATCCAGTTTTGATGGTCCCCGGGCCCGCCCACGTGCCCCCGAGGCCAACATCCGGGAAACACCGCGCATTGGAAAAATCAGATCCTCGGATCTCCAGGCTCCTCTCGAGCTCACCTTGACGCAGTATTGCGGCCATGTTGGAGCGCTCTGGCGCCCTTCTTGAGGCCGCATTCGCGCCGCCACACGGTGCTCCGCTCGAGGTAATGCCCAAAACTTGTTAAACGAATAATGACCCCCCCCCCGGATCCCGACTGCCACTAATTCGCCGCCGAATAACTATTTTTTAATTGCCCCCCCTGGAGAATAATTCCACGGGGGCCGAACGATGCAATAGATAAATGCACACATGTATGTCTGTATACATATTCCTTTACACGCGCACGCACGCGCATGCATGAGTATATGCGCATGAACTGTATGTGTGCAGATGTGCAGGCTACTTCGGTCGACGAGTAGGTAGTTTTCGTCTTACTGGGACACTGTGCGTACGTACGCACGCGTCTGCGCGCGTGCGCGCGGTGACGTCCAGTTCTCGCGCGCGGTGGGAGGCTGATTGGTCTTATGCTGGCTCCCAGAATCCCAAATTTACAGTTCGTTTTTCTCGCACGGTTTCGGGGGTGGCACGTGTCACCCGTTTTTGTTTCCCTTTTTTTGTTGTAAAGTTGAATGGCCGTGTGTTGGATCCCACAACCCCGAATGTACAATTGTTTTATCAGTTCGTCGGTGGCTCGTGTTGTCCGTTACTCTTGTGAGGTTGACTGGCTTCATGTTGGCTCCCAGACTCTCAGATTTGCAACTTGTTTTTTCCCACGCGGTTTCAGAGACGACACGTGTCACCGATTTGTTTTTGTTGTTTTTTTGTGAGGTTGAATGGCCTCATGTTGGCCGCCAGAATCCCAAATTTACATTTGTTTTTGTCTCACGCGTTTTCGGGGGTGGCGCGTGACGCTCGTTGATTTTGCGCGGCTGAATGACCTCATGTTGGCCCGTGGAGTCCCAAAGTTATATTTTTTTCCCGTGCGGTTTCGGGGGAGACGTGTCACCCGCTTTTTTTGTTTTTTGTTTCGTTCTTGTGAAATTGAATGGCCTTATGCTGGCTTCCAGAACCTTGCATTCACGCATGTTTTTCTCGCGCGGTTTCGGGGGTGACACGCGTCACCCGTTGTTCTTTCCGAGGCTACATGGCCTTATGCTGGCTCCCACAATCCCAGAGTTACAATTGGTTTTTCTCGCACGGTTTCGGGGGTGACACGTGTCACCGATTGTTTTTCGCGAGGTTTAACGGCCTTATGTTGGCTTCCAGGATCTCAACAACTGGGTCGTCTCCCACGGTTTCTGGGGTGGGCGTGCCGTTCGTTGTTTTTGTGGGGCTGAATGGCGTTTTGTTTTTCTCCCCAAATCTCATATTTAGAATTGTTTTTTCTCAAGTTTTCAGGGGTGACACTGTCACCCATTGTTTTTGAGAGGCTGGATGGCCTTATGGTGGCTCCCAGGATCCCAAATTTGCATTTTTTGTTCTCACATGCTTTCGGGGGTGACACGTGTCGCCGATTGTTCTTGTGAGGTTGAACTGCGTTATGTTGGCTCCCAGGATCCCAAATTGATAAGTTGTTTTTCTCACAGTTTCGGGGATGACACGTGTCACCCGTTGATTTCTTGAGGTTGAATGGCGTGATCTTGGCTCCCAGAACCCCGAAATTACAAATGATTTTTTCTCGTGCGGTTTCGGGTGTGACACGTGTCACCGGTTGTTTTTGTGCGGCTGAATGGCCTTATGTTGCTCCCAGAACCCACTATCTATATTTGTTTTTTTGTCACATGGTTTCGGGGGTGACACGTGTCACCCGTTATTTCTTGTCAAGTTGAATGGCTTTATATTGGCTCCCAGAATCCCCAATTTACAATTGGTTTTGCTCGCGCGGTTTCGGCGTTGACACGTGTCACCCGTTGTTTTTTCTGAAGCTGACTGGCCTTATGTTGGATGGTTTTTCTCGTGCGGTTTCGGGGGTGACGCGTGTCACCTGTTGTTTTGTGAGGCCGCATGGCTTAATGTTGGCTTCCACAATCCCAAATTTACAAATGGTTTTTCTCACACGATTTCGGGGATGACGCGTGTCACCTGTTGTTTTTGTGAGGCTGAATGGCGTCTGGTTGGCTCCCAGAATCGTAAAGTTGCAATTTGATATTCTCACGCGGTATCGGGGGTGGCACGTGTTGCTCGTTTTTGTTTTTTTTTGCGCGGCTGGATGACCTTGTGCTAGCTCCTGGAAGCAAACAGATACACTTGTTTTTTTATCACGCGGTTTCGGGGGTGGCACGAGTCACCCGTCGTTCTGTACGAGGCTGAACGGCCTCATGTTGGCTCCCAGGCTCCCAAACTTACAGCTGTTTTTTTCTCATAAACGGTTTCGGGGGCGACACGTGCCACCCGTTGTTTCTTGTGAGGTTGGGAACGGCGTGCTGCTGGCCCCTGATGGCCCAAGTGCGCAGGTGTTTTTTCTCTCGCACGGTTTCGGGGGTCAAACGTGTTACCCGCTGTTTTTGGTGAGGCGGAGGGGCCTCACACCCTAGGCGATGCTTAAAAGAAAACCGAAGTTTTCGTCCAGAGTCTCGATGATTCTTGACTTTTCAATGTAAATCCCGAGATTTTGATAGAAGTTCTGTGTTCCATTCAATTTCTGAGACTATGAATTTCTTACCCCATGATTTCTTAAGCATTTCGCATGGTGTATGTTGGTTGGCCTCCGGAACCACACGCTCGCCGGGCGTGGCTGGCGTGGCCTGGCGCCAAGGACGGGGTGCGCAGGACTCCGCCCGTGCACGCGGAGCGCCAGGGGCGGCCGCGGGGATGTCCCCGGCGTTCCGGTTTGCCCCGCCTACACCTTAGGCGATGCTTAAGAAACCTTAAGTTTTCGGCCAGAGTCTCGATTTTTCTTAACGTTACAATGTAAAGCTTAATAGAAATGTTGGGTTTTTATTCAAGTTCTGAGACTATGAATTTCGTAACCCATGATTTCTTAAGGATTTCGCAGGGTGTACAGTGCTGGGAACATCTGTCGTTGAAATCGTGTCCCCCCAGATTGTGCTTGTGGGGCCTCCGCGGAGTTGCTCCTCGGGCCGTCTGGACGCTCTTCTGTGTACCTCCTCAAGTCCTCTTGGGGAGCACATCTTGTCGCCACGGCGAGCGAGGGGAGGGGAAGTGAGAAGGAGAAAACCTTCCTCAGAAGGCGGCGGGACTTCTCAGAACCGCTTCTAGCGCCTTCTTAGAGGTTTTTTGTCTTCGGAAGGGTTAGAGAACTTCTCAGAAGGCCAGGGGACTTCCGAACCTTCTAAGAAGGCCTTCTCCTTCTCATTCCCCCCCCTCGCTCGCCGCCGACCTTGAAGAGTTCATCTTGGCGCCATCTTTGTGCCACTTTCGAGCATCTTCCTGGGGCCTCCTCGGCCTTCTTCAGACGCCTTCTCAGGGCGCTTCTGGGGGTCCTCTAGGGTCTTCACCTGAGGCCCTTTCAAAATCCCTTCGGCACTTGAGGAACCCTTCAGAGCCTCTTTTGAGGCGCTGTTGGGCCATTTTCGGAAGCACTTGCGACGACTCTCAGGGCACTCCAATTCTCCGTTCCAGGGCCCCTTTGAGCTGTCTTGGGCACTTTCTCGAGGGTCCCTTCGGAGCCTCTCTGACGGCGCTCTTGTTTTTTTTGTTTCTTCGGGTGCTTTCGGGGCCTGTCCTGCGCCCCTTCCCCAAGACGCTCTTCGGATCTTCTTAGGGTGCCTTGCTCCTGAGACCTCTGAGTTCCCAGAGCTGCTGGAGAGCCCCGACAGGTGCAAAATTTTCAAACCTTGAACAAAAACATAGGTTTTCTTTGAAGACATCGCCTTCTCAGTGCTCATACGCCATGCCAGCCAGAACGCTCGAGGGAGACCCGAGAGAAGCCTTCTGGGCCTCCATGGGGCCCCACGGCACAGGAGGACGCGCCAAGGCGACCAGGGGCCTGTGCCCGTCCCAACGCGGTTTTGAAACGTGCCCAAAAGGTGCCCCAGACTCAAACCCCCTCGCTCTGTGAAAGCGCCGCGACGGGAAGTTTTTCGCAGTCTTCGGCCTCATCAGGCCCCGGGGCCGTCAGAGAAACGATGCAGGACGAGAAGCCGGCCCCGGGGAAGGGGTCTAATCTTTTGGGGGTCGACGTTGTGACAAAAATCACGACGTCGGGGCCCTCGAGCCCGACCCGCGCAGCCACCCCCCCTGGCCTGCTCGTCGAGCGCGGCGATCGCGGACTGCTCGCTCTTCAGCAGCCCCCGCATCTCCGACCTGCCCGCGGCGGGCCCAGCAGGGGTTCCGCCGGGGCACTGCTGGGGCGCCGGGGCACTGCTGGGGCGGAAGAGGGGGGAGGAGGAGGAGGAGGAGGAGGAGGAGGAGGAGGAGGAGGAGGAGGAGGAGGAGGAGGAGGAGGGGAGGAGGAGGAGGAGGAGGAGGAGGAGGAGGTAGGAGGAGGGAGGGAGGAGGAGGATGAGGAGGGAGGGAGGAGGAGGGAGGAGGCAGGAGGAGGAAGAGGAGTGAGGGGAGGAGGAGGAGGAGCGAGGAGGAGGAGGAGGAGGAGCGAGGGGCGGAGGAGGAGTGAGAGGAGTGAGGACGCGATGAGGAGGAGAGGAGGAGGAGGAGGGGAGGAGGAGGAGGAGGAGGAGGAGGAGGAGGAGGAGGGAGGAGGAGGAGGAGGAGGAGGAGGAGGAGGAGGAGGAGGGAGAGGAGGAGGAGGAGTAGGAGGGAGGAGGAGGAGGAGGAGGAGGGGAGTGAGGAGGAGGAGAGAGGAGGAGGAGAGAGGAGGAGGAGGAGGAGGAGGAGGAGGAGGAGGAGGAGGAGGGGAGGAGGAGGAGGAGGAGGAGGAGGAGGAGGAGGAGGGGAGTGAGGAGGAGAGGAGTGAGGAGGCAGGAGGAGGAGGAGGAGGAGGAGGAGGAGGAGGAGGAGGAGGAGGAGGAGGAGCGAGGTGGAGGAGGAGGAGGAGAGGAGGAGGATGGAGGAGGAGGAGGAGGAGGGAGGAGGTGGAGGAGGAGGAGGATGGGAGGAGGAGGCGGGGAGGTGGAGGAGGAGGGGAGAGAGAGGAAGGAGGAGGGAGGAGTGAGGAGGAGAGAGAGGAGGGTAGGCGGGGAGGAGGAGGAGCGAGGAAGGAAAGGAGGAGGAGGAGGAGGAGGAGGAGGAGGAGGAGGGGAGGAGGAGGAGGAGGAGGAGGAGGTGGAGGAGGGGCAGGCGGGGCACGGACTCGACTCGCCGGAGCCTCGGCTCGCCGGAGCCTCGGCTCGCTGGGGCCTCGGCCCGCCGGGGCTCGCTTCGCCGGGGCTCGCTCCGCCGGGGCTCGCTTCGCCCGACGCGGCTCGCCCAGCTCGATTCGCCGAGGCTCCGTTTTCGGGGGGGCGGCTCGCCGGAGTCTCGCTTCGCCGGGGCTCGCTTCGCCGGAGTCGCTTCCGCCGGAGTCTCGCTTCCGCCGGGGTCTCTCCTTTCGCTGGGGGCTCGATTCGCCGGGGCTCGTTTCGCCGGAGGCTCGTTTCGCCGGGGCCCGTTTCGCCTGGGCTCGCTTCGCCAGGCACGTGAAGGATCCAGAGGGGGAGCAGGGGGAGCAAGCGGGCGGTCGGGTCGGGCGGGCGGACCTTACCGGGCGGGTCGGGTCGAGCGGGCGGGACACTAAAGTATGACGCATCATCGAGGCAGCACGTGCGAACCCTAACAGGCGGGTCGGGTCGGTGGGCGGATCCTGACGGGCGGGTCGGGTCGGATCGGGTGGGCAGACCTTGCTGGGCGGGTCGGGTCGGGCGGGCGGGACACTAAAGTAGGGCACATCATGCAGGCAACGAACCCTATCGGGCGGGTCGGGTCGGGTGGCCGGACCCTAACGAGCGGGTCGGGTCGGGTGGGCGGACTGACCTTGCTGGGCGGGTCGGGTCGGGCGGGCGGGACACTCAAGTAGGACACATCATGCAGGCAACACGCGCGAACCCTATCGGGCGGGTCGGGTGGCCGGACGCTAACGAGCGGGTCGGGTCGGGTGGGCGGACCCTGACGGGCGGGTCGGGTCGGGTCGAGCGGGCTGACTTTCTTGGGCGGGTCGGGGTCGGGCGTGCGGGACACTAAGGTAGGACACATCATGCAGGCAACACGCGCGAACCCTAACGGGCAGGTCAGGTCGGGTGGGCGAACCCTAACGAGCGGGTCGGATCGGGCGGGCGGACTCTAACGGGCGGGTCGGGTCGGGCGGGCGGGACATTCAAGTAGGACGCATCATCGAGGCAGCACATGCAAACACCAACGGGCGGGTCGGGTCGGGTGGGCGGACCCTAACGGGCGGGTCGGGTCGGGCGGGCCGACACTAGCGGGCGGGTCGGGTCGGGCGGGTGGAGCTGGGCGAATCAACACTCGGGCGAACCGAGACTCGGGCGAAGCGAGCTAGGCGGTTCGTGCGCCAGGCGAATCAAGCCGGGGCAATCGAGCCCCGAGCGAGTGGAGCTTCGGGCGAAGCGAGCCCCAGGCGAATCGAGCTGGGCGAACCGAGCCCAGGCGAATCGAGACGGGCGAACCGAGACTCGGGCAAAGCGAGCGGGGCGATTCGAGCTGGGACGAGTCGAGCCGGGCGAGTCAAGCTGGGTGAATCGAGCCTCGGTCGAATCGAGCCGGGCGAATCAAGCCGGGCGAATCGAGATTCAGGCGAATCGAGCCGGGCGAATCGAGCCGGTCGAATCGAGCCGGGCGCATCGAGATTCGGCGAATCGAGACGGGCGAATCGAGCTGGGCGAATCGAGGTTCGGGCGATTCACGTCTACGCCGCAGACGGCCCTTGGGGGCCCCGAGTTGCCGAACTAATACTCCCAGGCGTCCTTGATGGCCTCGAGGTGGCCCCAAAATGCCCCCAAGACGCTCCACAAGAGCTTCCAGACTGCCCAAAACGCTTTCAAGTCGTTCCAAGAGGTTTCCAAGAGGCCCCCCCAGATGCCCCCAAGAGATAGTATTCATTGAGTGTCCATCTTTTAGTCTGCACTTTTTGCTGCCCAGCGCTCCAAAGCTACCTCAGAGGCCCCGAGAAACGCCCCGAGACGGCCTGAGAGGCTCCCAAGTGGGTGCCCAGATGGCCCAAGGGGCCCCCCCAAACGGCCCAAGAGACCTCCAAGACGGTCCGAGGACACTTTGGGAGCCACCCAAGATCGGTTCCAGAGGGTGAGCACGACCTACGATTTAGACCTCTCCGCGCACCGGGACCCCCAGGAGGCCAAACAGGTCTCCAAGAGGCCTCCCAGGAAGCCCGCAGAAGCGCTTCCAGACGGCTTACGACGCCTTCGAGACACTTCAGGAGCGTTCCACGTGGCAACCCAAAAGGGTTCCGAGGGGCAACACATTTTTGATTTTACATAGGTTTTTGAAGGTCATTGGCATTTTTGCCTCTCCCCCCTGCCTCTCTGCCAGCATGCAATGAGAAACATGGTACCCCCCCGAGTACCCAATTTAGCCCTCTGGAGTCCAGGGCGCTTTTTCGGAACTTCGGAAGGTTAATCGGCTTGAGGAGTCGTCGAAACACAATTTCCACATCCGAACGGCGCCAGGAGACCACCAATATGGCCAAGACATGCCCTAGATGGCCCAATATGGCGCCCAAGCCGCTTTACACGCTTTCAGACGGCCCAGGACGCGCCAAGACCGCTCAGTAACTCCAAGAGTTCCGTGCGTAGTTGCTCGGAAGAGCAGCACCTCAGCAGGGGCCGTGGTGGGACTGCAGCCGCGGGGCTGACGGCACCCGTCAACCTTTCGCGTTTAGGTGCGTGGGCCCGTGTGTGCTGCTGCCGTGCTGCTCCCTGGCTTGGTGGCAACTGTGAAGCCGCTGGGCGACATTCGGCTCTCCCGAAGGCGGCCCCTAGGCGGCCCGCAAGAAGGCGGCCTTCGGCGACCCTGCGTGCGGCTCTCATCGGCCTCAGGGCGGCCCTGAGGCGGCCTTTGTACTGCTAGGAAGCCAGTCCCGCTGCCGCGATGTTCCTCCTCGATCCCCGAGGACGGAGGCCAGCCAAGCACGGGGGGTGAGAGGCGAAAACTATTGATTGTAGTGGCCTCCCGCCAGTGCCGCCGATCTGGGGCGCTCTCGATGCTGATGGGAATGGATGACGGTGTATGCTGAGGATACAGCCTTCGTTCGAGACATCCTCATAACATGAACATGTGGAAATCGGTTGCGAAACCTCCGGATCTTCGAAAATGACGCTCTCGCGTGAGTCGCCATTGAAACCATGAAATGCTGAAACAGCTGTTGCACGCCATCTTTGGGAGGCGCCCTTGGAGAACCCCCAAGACGTCTGAAGAAGTGAACTTATTGAAGATCCACTTGTTTTGCCACATGGTTGTTCAAACGTAAGCGTTTTGGAAGAGTTTGGAGGCAGTCGTTTGCCTCAAGGCCCTGGCCCGTCTTGGGCACGGGGGTGAGAGGTGAAAGCCATTCATTCCCCTGATGGTTGCCATGGAGTTTCGTTGGCGTGCTCGCTCTCTCCTCGTCCCCTTCCGCCAGTCCCCGAGGTGGCCCGAAACCAGGCGCCACGAGAGGAACGGCAGCTCCGCCTCGTCGCCCGGGGGACCCGGGCGACAGCCTTCCCGAGCACGCGGGTGCCACGGCCTTCCAGACACGGGCACGTGCCCTAGATGGTGCTTCAGGTGGTACCAGCCCAGAATGATCGCTTGTCAAAAAAGTCAGGGCGGCAAATTTCTCGATATTTTCGGCCCCTGGGGTCTCTCGCCGGGCCCCAGGACCGTCCAAGAACGATTTCAGGATGACGCACCATAGGGTCGGGACTTCAAGGGAAGCCGTCCTGAAAAAATCATTCTGGGACTTTCTCCGAGTTGTGGTGCCGCGAACCCCACATGGCACAACGTTCTCCGAGCAAGTGGTGCCACGGCCTACTCCTCTGGAGGGCTGTGGTGGCACCTTGCTCTTCCCGGTGTCCCGCTAGGCCAGCATGCTGCTTCGGGGACCGCTCGCGAACGCACATGCGTTTCCCGACTGTGTCTCCAGCTGCGGGCACGGGCGATGGGTCCGCGTCCGCACGGCTGCGGCAGGACTCTGTCGATTTTGCCCAGGCTTTTTTCTTCCCGTTGCGTTACCCACTCTCTCCTCAGTGTCCCTTCGTGCTTCTTCTGGGGTAGTATTGGTACGCTTTTGACATTGCGATTGTCAGTCGTGTTCACTGACAGGGCGGGGCCGCAAGTGTGTAGAGCTGTGACGGCACCGACCACGCACTCTTCTCCTCGATGGCCCCAAGATATCCTCCTCCTCCTCCTTGTCCTCCTCCATCGCCTCCTCCTCTCTCTGTCGCTCTCTTTCTCTCTGGCTTGAGTCCCCCTTCATTGGCCTCCAAGGGAGGTAGAGGCCACTGACCACGCCTGGCGCCTTAGCACGGGGGCCGATCAGGTCTCCCCCTTATCCTGCATCGCGTGCCCGTTCTCTCGCGGCCGATTCTTGCAGTCGGCCTTCCGGTAGGCTGCAGGCTAACTTTGATGCCTGCACCAGCTCCACAGCTCAGCTGCTTGAGTCACCCGAGGTTCTCGACCGACCGACCGACCGACCTCTTCCTGATCTTCCTCCTCGTCCCTGGCGTCATGTTTGGCCTTCGAGCTGTTCGACAGCGACCCAGCACCATCACCAAGAGTTGTTGCGCGATTGGGCTTTCCGGGACGGTTCCCCACGACACAAAGGACAGATCTTGCCCAAAGGGGCGCCAATAGCACTCCAATTGTATTCAAAGGACGCCCATTTCAGAAGGCCCAAGAGGGCCCAAAGATGCCCTAACATGGTCCTGGAGAGGTTCGTGACGGCCCAACCAGCCAGCCCTTTCGAACTGACGAGAACCTAAGCGCGCGCGAAGCGCGCGCGTGGTTATAGTACATATATCTATGTTTATGTATAGGTGTATGGCTAGGTGTCTGTGTATGTATACGTGTGTATGTATGTATGTATGTATGTATGCATGCATGTATGTTTGTACGTATGTATGTATGTATGTATGTATGTATGTATGTATGTATGTATGTATGTATGGATGCATGTATGTATGTATGTATGTATGTATGTATGTATGTATGTA